GATACACTACTCGATGGGTTTCCCAAGTATATGGATATGCACAAGAGGTCACCTTTTCTTCCCTATCATTAGAATATCATGAGACTATGGATACGGATATTTACATGTTTCTGAATATATACTATCATACCGGATAGCATGGTTATTATTATTTTTGCTTATTGTGTATTTATTTTAGACAGCGTTTATTAATTGCTCCAAAGAGAGCACTGGAGAGCGCTATACATAAAACTGCAATCATATTATATGTTGTGACATCAAGTTCATGCTATTTGTAGACTACTTAGTCCTAACATTCCAAAAATTGTAGGCGTTGTGGCACGTATTTCTCATCATGGACAATTGGGATCTAGACATTTTTTTCTTGACTTTGAAGTTATCTTCCCGTTGTTTTCTATTTCCATCTACACTTTCTTCCCTACTTAGCTTTGTTGAGATACTCATCATTGATAGCAGTTTAGATTTCAATTAGACTCTCTTCATACATCGAGCATTGAGGTTTATTGTGAAGTGTATGTGGGGTAGTGACAATGTCACGACTATGACGATGAATATATCTTGAAATCTAACAAGAATAGTGCAAACACATAAAAACATATTATATATAGGACTGAGTCAAATGAAATATTTATAGAATTACACCTCTCGGTGTGTATCTTAATTTACGGTGAATTTCACTTCAAAAAACCCTTGTCTAAAATGCCTTGGGCTTGAAAACTTTGTTCATCTCCACGCATGCCTAATTTAGGCGACCGTGTGGTGCAATGCCTAATTTACCTAAAATACTATCGCTTTGGTGCCCAAATGAATGCAGGCCGTCAACGTTAACTGTCTCACTCCGGACAAGTTTAGTGGTAAATTCACAAACGGGAAATGGTGTGGTGCAACGCCTAATTTACCTAAAATACTATCGCTTTGGTGCCCAAATTAATGCAGGCCGTCAACGTTAACTGTCTCACTCCGGACAAGTTTAGTGGTAAATTCACAAACGGGAAATGGTGTTTGTCCTCATATGTCTCAGATACTAGCGCAAAGTCTACATGTACAAATGAGGTGCTGCAAATTGAACGCAGAGGAAGAATTGCCTTGCCATACATTTGGAAGACTTTCTTGAGAAATTAAGAACCGACTAAATTAAGTTTCCTAACTAGATTAACGTAAGTTAATTAGTCTACGGACTAATATAAACGTGCCATGTCATTTCCATTCAGTTATTAACATGGAGACCAATCAATCAGCTGTTGTACTTAATGAAGCATTTTCATTAATATCAAATGGATTTATAACTTTCCGCAAGCTAAACCCAGTGGCCGGCGTAAGTTGGTTTGTTCGTGCATACCTACTACTGAGTATCTAGTTAGTGCCTTCTGTTTTGAAGACGCATCTGGTGATGATTCCGAGCCGCTTACAGTGGATTCTACTAACCAAGCTGTGCATTATCTGCAGAAAAACTAAGGCAGGAGAGGCCAAAAGCATATAATATTAGAGAACAGCCACAGGCAAACAGTGGTGTTTGACGCAACTGTGTCTTGTCTCCCCGAGCAAGACTCGAGTCTTGCTCGAGATTGGATGGATGCACCCGGACAGCAGTAGTGGGTTTGGCGAACTGGTACCATGAAAAATACTTTTCAGATATGCTAAAATAAGCACCTTCACACGAGTATCTTCTCTGACATCTCCTTTTCTCATTATGGCAGTTGACAGAAAGGGAAGGTGGCTTTCAGTTTCAAACCTCGGCTTACTTCCTTAAGTACAAACTGAACGATTTACTGTGCGTGATAGACATCCCTATGACTACTGTAGTCGATCCGTGACAACTTTGACACAATCTGCCTCAAGTTTCATTCGCGAGGCTTTTTACTGAACGGAAAGGTGGGCAAGTTTTGGCAGGGCTATGCTTATGGTACACATCCGAATTCCACGAACATGTGTCTTATATAAGACTCTCATCGGAAACACCAGATACCATTGGGGTACGAATGTTACCGGATTGACTATTCGTCAGTTTAGAACAATGTAAGAGTGAGTATGAATCTTAATTTAGACCACAATTCAGAACCTGCACCAACTGACTCTTGGCTGGCAACCTTTAAATATCCCAGCTTCCTGCCTTGTAGATATGTTTTTACGACATCAACATGAGCATTATTCCTAATGTTGTAAGTAACACTCAATTTAGTCAGACTTTACATCAGAAGAATGGGTCCACTCGCGACCACGCGGTCGCGAGTGGACCCATTCTTCGCGAGTGGACCGTCGGCAAAAGATGTCATCCTATTTGTGTGACATTTGTCCTTGGTCGGATTCTGGTTCTTAACCTATATCCATCCAATAGCTCAACACGAGATTAGCCTAGGATACATGGTGTTTTATACGGTCCGATCAAAGAGAGATATATAAATCTTGTACATCTATTAAAAGGCCAAAAAATAAGTTAGTGTATTATTGTTTACAGCCATATGTGCATTTTCAAATACATGTGTCCTTTGACTGATATTTTCTGTTAAGAGAATTTTAATCATTACAAAACACCTATGGGATTTTAAAAAATTTCAGATGTGAAATTTCCCAAAAAAAGAAAATGTATCATTTATGAAAATGAGATAATTATTATAATCCATTATTTCACTGAAATCATAATTCTATACTGAATCTTCTAACTTTCAAAAATTTTATTTGCGCTTATTAATATTTTTTTATCTAAGTAATTATCTTCCATATTATTTGATGATTTCTTTGTTACATATTTAAATTTAAAATTTTATATATAAATTCAATTTCGGAAGTTAATAAAATTCTTTCCTAAAAAAATTTCTCATCTTATTATTCCATATCATTTTTTCATATTGACACATCATTTATATCATAATGTGAACAAAACATTTTTTCAAAATTTATTTGATTCAGTCAATAAATTAAACAATTTAACAACTTATGTGCTAATTATTACTTATTATATTTATATTCAAGATGAAACTGGCGAGGATACACAATGGGATATTCTTATTATCCATACCCATCAATAACATTTCAACTCAGAAATATGTTTTTCAAGTGCAAATGAATGCAAATAAAAGCTAAAATGTATTGTAATTTAAAACAATTTGAAGAAAAAACACATCTATAAAACATAAATTTCTGAAGAATTTCTAGTCATCCGAAATTATTATTTTCACTCTGTTTCATAATGGCATAGAAGACAAAATAATTATATTTTCAATGTTGTTTCATTTACATTGAAATTTAAGATGGCCTTTACTTGCTCAATCTTCAATGATATCCACATCCGCTGGCATCCTCATTTTCGATTTTTATTGTATACAAAAGCAATTGCAGACATGAATACTCAATATCTGAATCATAAAATACAAATAAAATTTTCAATCAGAGTTTTTCTTTACAAAACATGAATCATTTAAAAAATTTCATTTTTCTAATATTTATTTTTTAATTATATCCATTCACCTTATGGGTGCTTATTCCAACTTTTGATTGAATTTCAAGCAAAAGAATTGCAAAGGTAATTTATAACGTTTAAAATTACTTTTCAATTTGATCCCTGGACTGCAGGTATTTAAGTATCATTTGCTACACTTTTTTTACCTAAAATTAGTTTTCATAATATATATATATATGTTTCACATGATATTAAGGTACAAGATATATTAAGACGTGCAATGAGAAATATCCAATGAAACTGAACAATAAATAAAAAAGATCGACATACCCCCATCAAGTACTGCAAAAATGAAACCAAAAAATTGGATGGGGCTAACCCTAACATCATCGCGATGGTTGATGCTGCAAGTATCTAATCTCTACTATATGGGTCAAACTGTTTACATATGAGGGTAGCTTACCAAAAAGCATCAGCCAACGTCGTAAAGCTCTATGTAGAGTAATGTGCTGTGTAAAATGAATGGTCATCCTGCATTAGTTGATGTTATTGTATTGTTTGTTATCACCACCTCCTGTTGATGGGGTCAGTTCTCACGTCGTCGAATCCCTTTTGAGTATCGAAGTTTACCTCGTGATCAACAGAGAAGCCAAGCGTCAATATATGCCTAAGTTCCCTTTGCAATTCCAGTTGTCTCTGAACATGCCATGGTTCAAGGTAAAACATTTGCAGCGAGATTGTAGATAACGCCATCGGATCGCATATCTTCGGATTGTTTAAATTATGTAAAAGGAAAAGGGCAGCTTGCATCATTTGTGCTTTCCAAGAATCGATCTTGCTTGAATATAGGCTCGAGTTGTAGATAGAAATTCGGACAGAGGATTGCGATCTCGAAAAGGATGTCGCTGGATGTACTGCTAATTTTCCTCTCTAAAATACTTCGCGATACGAGAGCCCTTCCGTACATTGAATCAGCACAGCGGCGAGAGCAATCGAACCACAGAAAGCTATCGTAGTGTAGCAACCACTCCAGGCTCAAAGAGGTGCGCGCGTGACGTGGCAGATAGTCATTGTGCAGAGGAAGTCCGATCCCATTCGCCAATCGCGCGTGTGTCGCTAATCGCGTCCGGTAATAATCATGCAAGGCGTATTCACAACAACGGCCGTGCCGTGCCACGCTGGACCGTACACCGGGTCTCTCCCGATAATATCACGCCGGGAATTTCAAAGAATTCCATCACCCATCGACCGGACGGACCTCATGCAAAACGCCACGAACGGAATTGACTTGTACAGACCCTACAGTAGCGGACGTTCTAGAAGCTCCAGCCGTGGAATCGATCGCAGTGCCGCGTCAGAGACATGGCGCTCGTCGGGGACAAGAGTGGAATGGGCCTCGGCCGCCCGTCTGGCCCCATCTGGCGGGAGGGAGGGCTGGCCCGAGCAGCGCTCACGCGGAGCGGCAGATCGGGCGAGGAAAGGAGGAGGCGGGCGAGCGAGGGGCTGGGCCGCGGCCAGCGCAGGAGCGGGGACGGGACGGGAAGTCAGTCGTCGTGTCGCGGGGTTGTTTGTTTAAAGGTATGTATTGGAAAGGTCGCTGATTGTGTCATTGATTGCGAGCTAGCTAGCTGTGGGGTTCTTATTCCTTAGTTCGGCAGGGGGAGGGCAATTTCACCCTATCTATCTTGCGTGTTGTCGTCGTCCGGTGTTCTGTCGTCTCGTCATCCTTTAGTTAGTAGTAATAGTCACTCACCTACTTCGACTTTGTGTGTATCATGTTGGTTGTATATCCTCAGCGGGACACAATTTGATCGCATTATGCGCTTCATCGTTTGCTGCGCATCGTTCTGTACAGGCCTCGGTCAGTCCAATCTCGCAGAGCAGGGCTTTTAAGGATCTGGTTCTCGTTCTTGGCGAAGCTCGCACCATTAGAAGACTCGACCGGCCACGTCGTCCGAGGGGACCATCAATGTCTGCCGGTGAAGATCGGGGCTAGGCGTCGGTTAGGCAGGCAGGTTGCATTATCGCAGGAGGAGTAGTGGAAGGATCTTAAATCGTAGCGTTGTTGGGTTTTCTGGAACGAACTCGCTTGGCGGTGTTCAGCGTTGTTGTTGTTGCTGCCGCTGCTGCTGTCCCTCGGGGCGGTGCTTGAGTTGCCGTCCTCGTTCGTTTTTGTGGAGAAGCGCATCATGTCGATGGAAACTGCAGAGTTGGAGCAGATTGCCGGCCAGCAAATTGGCTCCGACTCGGGCTTCCTCTGGGAGAGGTTGAGTGATGAAGTGACGGAGTGTATCCTGGCCCGTGTGCCTTTGAGCAGTCTAGTCCGGGCATGTGCTGTGAATAAACATTGGAAGGCGATCATTCGTTCTTCGGAATTTGGGAGGCTGTGTGCCGAGGTTAGGCCCAGCAACCCATGGCTCTTTGTATACTGCACAAACTTTTTGCTGCCTGGCAAGAACCAGGCCTACGCTTACGATCCTGATGCTCACAAGTGGTACACGATTCCCTCTGTGACCCCTCCGACACACTCCCGCGCATCGATGTCAGGAGGGGTTGGAGGAATCATGGTTGCAACTATGGGGGGAACCCAATCTCGTCTTTGCTATAATCACTCTCTCTTCATTAAGAAGTGGAAGCAGACGACCGAAATGTGCGTGTCTAGGGATGCACCCCTAGTGGGGTTTGTGGAGGAATCTGGAAGCGGTAGCAATGTTTCTCAAAAGCTGATTGCCGTTGGAGGAGTCGAAATGTTCGAGGATGACGACCTGGCCGTCGAAATTTACGACACCGTGCTGAAACAATGGGAGGTCACAAAGAGTCTTCCTGTCGAATTTAGAGGAAATAGTTCTCGACACTGGCTTAGCGGGGCCGTTTGGAACCGGAAACTTTATGTCTTGGAGATATACTCAGGATCGGTGGCTTCCTTCGACCTCTGCACCAAGACATGGACTCTTGTGCAGATTTTGAGGCCAATGACGCCCTCCGGTGTGAAGTACGCGTACCTTCTTATTTGCCAAGGGCTGCTAATACTAGCTGGAGTTTGTCATCCTCCTGAAGGACACGTGAGCTTCAAGCTTTGGTTGGTTGATGAATCCGTCATGCAGTGCAAGGAAATGGGGGTCATGCCTCCAGAGTTCTTCGCTATGTTCGCCAAGGGTGACGGAGAGAAGAATGTTTTGGGAATGAAGTGCGTTGCCAGTGGATCGCTCATCTACGTTTATAGCGTCACCCCCGATGCCGAGTACCCTATGGTGGTATGTGACATCTCCAAGGGTTGGAACGCCTGGCAGCGGCTTCCCGAACTGCCTTCGCTTGGTAACAGATTCGACACTATGGTTGGGTTCTGCTCTTCAGTCACCATGAACTCTTTCTATTAGTCTGCCTACAAGCTGTACATGACATGATTTTATTCTAATCATCGGTAGTCGCCTCGTACGTCTTGCACGATGGAGTACATGTAGGTGTAGCTTAGGACCTAACTACTATGTGGATGGATTGTCTCTCAATACCAGTTACTTGCTGATCACGTAACTTTCGTGTGATAGATCTTCTGTGTTTAGTGGGAAGAATGCGTCCTTGGTTATCCTATGTCTGGGAAAGTTTCAGGGACAAGTCCTCTGAGAACTGTCTACGGCATTGCTTCCTGCAGTTTGCCTCAAATGTGTTCTAATTGAACTCGCCCTTGCTTTCTCTACAAAGCTGGGTTCGTGTCGTGGATGTGGTCTTAGCGAACTTAGCTTTCGATATCCTCATTGACGCGCTCTCATGAAGTGCTCTCTATCCATGTACATTCTCCTCGTATAGGCGCAAAGTGATGATCACTGTCATCACTAGCTACAAAAAAAATGAGTAATGTGATAAATTGGACCATTGGTCTGAAATATGTGAGAACAAGTCAATGGTGGCGGACTCAGCTCTTCAATGCTCTCTGTAATGATGCTGTTTAAATTGAATTCATGAAACAGTTTCTGGGGTATCCTTATTTGTGGTGAATGATCTTCTTGTTTGACTTTGTTGCCGAGCATATGATCATTATGGTCTTCGCGTTTTGTTCGTAGATCATGGTCGTGTATGTATCGTCTTCGTGTCACGAGCATTCTCCCTGTGATTCCGTTGCCTACTTTGTAGTATATTATTATATTATAAATCTGACCTGCCACTACCAATCTTGCTGACTATCCACTTGCACCACTCATCAACAATTCAAGCCGAAGTGGTTGTGCAGCCCGTTTACGCAATTGCTTTTGGTTTTGAATGAAATCTGACGTTGCGTCACGCTTGCATCACATCCGACCGAGAACTATGCTGACTGCCTATACCAATATCCTTAATATTGTTGGGTTGGTCATTGTTGCTATTAACTCTATGACAGCAAATTCGAATCTTGTTTATAATCGCTGATAGGAATGTTGCTTGCCACGTTAGTGAATTGTGACGTGATCACAAAATGTAATTTGAAAAGAAGAAAAGCCTAGAAGTAAATGTGCACATCATACATGAATTACTTTTTCGATAAACTTGAATTCTATGTGAAGTAGGCTTGGGCATAGCCAAATGCATCACACGTTACGTTAAGCAGCTTGGACTATCAAGAGTTTATTTTACAGGAACAAATTACAAGATATGGCAGCTTTGTTGGACATTGAGAATTGGGCTGGAGAGTATTGGGGGCTTGAGGATGTGGTCGTGCAGTTCGTTGGGAGTACCTGAATCCTTGGGAGCCATTTATTTCGGGAGGAAAGTATGTGCTTCTGACTTCTGGCACCATGGAGTGTTCAGCATCTGGCCCATGAGTTCAGTTTACAATGCGTTGCCGATGTAAACTCAAAACATGGCACACATGTTGGACATTCAGTGTGGTCTCCAATTCCTCTGTACTAGTATGAACGTCGAGGATACTGCTTTGAATATGTTTTCTTTGGACATAACTAAATCGAACCGTAAATTTCTACAGAAGCTGCAGTAGGGTAATATCTGACTTACGCCTCACCTTTTATGGGGAGTAGAGCTGATTTGGGAACATAATTAGAATGGTGAATTGTTTTTGTAACTAGACCGGACTATAGGTTGATCACCTCTTTCGAAGCAACTTTCTCGGTTACTTGTACGCCTTGTCTATTCCTAATCTTAAGCTCGAGCTCAGGTTGTCTCTACGTCCTTACGTCTTCGTTTTTTTCGTTGATCAAATACTTCTATGAGGTGGCCTGTATTGCTCGACACATCAGGCTACGCGTCGTCGACACTTTCGAGTTGATGGGCGGCTGCAGAGGTTTTCCATCTCACGCTCTTGGCCAGGTCAACTCCGATGATTGGAATATACGAGACTATTGTGGATAGATTTGTACGCCATGTATGAATGACTGTCTGCTATATCTTTTTGCGATGAGATTTGAACTTGCAGTCAAGGGCATGCGTTCAGCGTTCTCATTGGAATTGGAAGGTTTGTGGTAATTCTCAACTGTAGAAAGTATCTCTACATCTCAATAACGTCGGGCTTTGCAGCCCAGTTTCATTTAGTCATAGAACCTATGTTACCAACCCTTTTTAGTCATTGAGCAATGATTGGCTATTCTACTTGAATGCAATTGAATTGATTTTGAATATGTACTGGTCGTGATTTTACTCTGATGCAACTTTCGGATTAATCGGACATTAGATTTCACTAGGGGGCGATGAGGTATCCGTCAAGCTTCACCAGCTGCTAGGAATAGCAAGTCTCACGACGATATTGACATGATTGAGACCTTCGTTGCAGAAACCTGGGATTTAGTACCTCGGACCATTCCAGGCCATCGAAATTCCACCGAAGGTTAATTGGGACCAAGGTGCAAATGGTAGTTTTTTTTTGGTTAAAAGAACGTAAAAAGGTCGTAAGTCGAGATGGTTTTTCACAATTTGGCCTTACGTATCGCCAATTTCATTGGCTTTCATTTAATGTTGTCAGGCACTGCATTGCACGCAAATGGTTTAACCCGCATTTCCTCAAAAGTCTAGGTGAACAAATTGAATGTAGTGAGGAAGGGTATGGAGGACAACCTAGTCATGTCTGGGCCATTTGTCCTGTTGTTGCCAGTGTACATGTACTTGCTTTTGGTTTCATATAATCATGTACAGGGTAGTCTAAATTTTGCAATGGTTAGCCTAGCTTTAGCCTAATGTAGTTTAGGGCTTTCTCGCACGTATGTCTCTGTATGGCCTAGATGTTGTAAAATATATCCACATTCTTACTGCAGATTTCTATTCCCCTAACATTTGAACGACGAAGGTTTTTAATTTTTCCAACCATTGGCTTTTTCCTCATCATTTCCTAACTACCCGCGTAAACCATTGTTCAGATGTTATTTTTAGTTATTGGTAGTGAATCGATGTGTCCCATAAGAGTGCTTTGCCAAATATCGAAATTTATTTATTTCATCTACTTAATGATTAGTATGTTTCCGACGATTTCATGCCAACTCTTCTGTACCTTCTAGCTTCTCATTCTTTTCGTAGACTTTGTGGGCCTACAATATGCAAGATTCTGTGTACAGAAAAAGGTTTCAGTGTACCAAAGTTCTGGACAATTATAGGTACCGTTGTTCTGTGCGTATTCGCGATAAGCTTTTGGTTTGTCGCCACATGTCTGATCTGATAGCTTCACTGACTTGAGGAAGAATTCGAGTTCACTTGCAGCTAGTGTACCGCTGATTGTTGGTTACAAAGACTCACTCTACTCTATAAAGGTTGATTTTATTTACCGCTTTCAATAGTTACAGACAGAGCTACAGCTAGAGAATTGAGAGTGGTAAATTGTTTTTTGAAACGACGTGGATGGAGGATGGAGCATACTGTGTCGATAGATTGGAACAGTTCACCAGGAGACTTCTGTTTACTTGTGAGCTTTGCTGATTTTTTTGTGTAAATATTAAAGTGCGGTTCATCTCTTTATTTGCTCCTATACAGTGACGCCATTCACTTTTCATGGTCTTTCCCTTATTTAATCTCATTTAACTTCTTTTTTTGTTGGTTGAGCTGCTGTTGGTATCGCAGCCCAACCAAGGCAGGAGCTCTCTCCGTCTTTGGTTCATCACACCGAAATGATGTTGAGTACAAGTATATATGTTATATTTCGACCTTACTGGACTGGTTTAGCCACCAATTGCTCTTCGTTGAGTATTCATTTGTTATGTATTATCTTCGATTCGGGGCTGGTGGTATCCATCAGTGGTACAGGTATATAATGTTATATGGGTATAGGTTAGAAAGTTTCTCATGCATGCCAGGTAAATAAGTCATATTTTTCTTAGTTTCCTACGTTTACATTAACTCCATATGACTTTCATGACTAGTACTTTGTGGCGAGGCAACTCACAATTTGCACAGCTGTGCTTGCAATCGCTTATTTGCTTTGCCAAGTGAGTGAAGGAGGATGTTGATGGGCTGAATCTTAGGATCCGAATGAACCTCCTCTAGAGGGTATCTTGGAACAGGGAATATTTATCTGTGTTACTTTAAGACTTGATAGTGACCAAGACCATGATACTATTTGTGCGATATCCAAAGAAAACAGATACTTGAAGTATTGTACCGAGCCCGAAAGCTCGCTTATCTCGTAAAGCTAGCTAAACCTTTTGGATTCCAGCTAAGTCATGAAATGCAGGAAACAGATACATATCGAATGAAGATTCACCCGTATCCTTCCGATAGAGTCCTAATGGCCTAATGTTGGAGTGTTTTTCAGATGTATTACACACTATCACTATCATTGTCACAAGAACAAAATCCATAAAACAATCATACCGAATCTAAGCCAGTTCACCAAATTCGCGAACATATATCAAGGTTTCTTTTGTTATCTTCATACATTCAAGTAAATGCAAAAGTCAGCCAAATTTACGAATTAATCTGCTCATACTTTCCACCTGTCTCTTCTTCCATACTTGACCAAAAAAATCATACACTTACCTTACAACCTCTAGGAAATATACGCACTTTTAAGAGACTTGTAGTGCAAACTTACATTTTATCTAGTGTTGAATAATGTTAATGCCACTTGATACACGTGAATCAACAATTTTGTAAATAGAACTTATTGAAATTAAAATATCACAATTAACTATTTAGTCACATGTTTAGTTAGATAAATTTCTACTATTATTTTCAACATTTATGTGGTTATTTTATTCATGGGTTTGAGATATTTCTCATACCATTAAAAAAATGAAAATGCAAAAAAATTTTCATTTTAAACACACCACTAATGAAAAGTTAATTATATTTATATTCAGGTTAAATTTTTTGACGATATTGATTAAATATGAATATTTGAAAATAAAACAAAAAATCAAATACATCAGAAAAAATGATATTAGTATATTTAAAAATTTAAAAAATCGGAAAGCAAAAAATTTATTTTGAAATATACTTAGGAATTAGTCAATGTTATAAAAAAAACCTCAAGAATGTTTTACTTTTCTGGGTTAAAAAAGTTTGTTGTGATGGACAAATCAACCTTCGAGTTAAGTTGTTGCGCACTGAAAATAAGTCTGACTTCATAAGCCAGTACATTCTTGGAAATCATATTGAATTATAAAACAGGTTTGCTCTAGAGCACAAAGGAGTTGAATTCAGCTCCTTTGTGTCCAAGTTTGTGCTTTGACTTAGAATCAAAACATAATAGGTATGAGAACTTAGCTCATAGATTGATCAATTCATTAGGCTGTGTAGGGTGTAATGTGCATTCAGACGGTACAGGGAGCCACGATGAGTTATATCGATGAATATGACAGCAAGTAAACTTGCAGGTTATTTATGCAGAAGTATTGGTGAAAATAAGTATGACTTCAGAAGCCATTACATTTTTGAAAATCATATTAAGGTATAAAGTAGGTTTGCTCTAGAGCACAAAGGAGTTGAATTCAGCTCCTTTGTGTCCAAGTCTGTGCTTTGACTTAGTATCAAAACATAATAGGTACGAGAACTTAGCTCATAGATTG